TTTTTCTGCTTATGTGGTGCTGAGGAATCGAACCTAGGGCCTTACGCATGCAAGGCAAGCGCTCTACCACTGAGCCACCTTCCCAGCCCTGAAAAGCTTCTTTTTTGGGGGGGTGGGGGTGGGGTCCAGTCATGGGGCCTGAACTCTGGTCCTGGGCACTGTCCCTCAGCTCTTCACAAGGCTAGCGCTCTACCACTTGAGCCACAGCACCACTTCCGGCTTTTTTCTTTTGCTTATGTGGTGCTGAGGAACTGAACCCAGAGCCTCAGGCATGCAAAGCAAGCGCTCTACCACTGAGCAACCTTCCCAGCCCAAAGCTTCTATTCTTATATTTTATCTCTCCTGTAAAAGTACAATGGTGGCAGGAATCAGGTAAACTACTCTTTAATTGACTAACGTACAGGTAGTGAATCCCAGTGAATCCTTATTGGAGAAATGAAATACATGGGGCTGATAAGACAACCCTAGAGGTTTGACCCAGTTTACAGAAAACTAGAACTGAACCATTTCCCCTTCTACCCCATACCTTCTCAATTGTGGTACCTTTTTTCTTTCCAAGACACAATTGCCCCCACTCCCAACAAATAAAGAAAGGAGGAAACTTGTACACTCAAGGTACTCTGACACTCTGAGCAAAGTAGCTCATTTAGGTTGGTATATTGGAGTGTGAAGAGAAAAGGCAACAGTACAAATTCACAGACCTTCTCTGTGATCTCCTTCAGTGATGGATATAGCACATCCCTGGAGAGTAGGTTTTGCATGATGCTCTGCATGATGGGGAGGATGTTCCCATCTCCATCCCCTTCATCCATGCCCAGCCCCTCCATGGCTTTGGTCAGCTCTTCTTCTGACATGCCTGAGTTCTAGATAACACAAGAGATATGTGAACAGGCATAAAAACTTTCTGGGATGCTTACTACCCTGTGAGATGAGAAAGAACCATCTAAACTTGCCTGTAACAAAATACTGAGGCAGAAACATATGTGAGAAGCATCTATCTTTTGAAACTGTTGATGAAGTATCTGGGAGTGGGCTGCTTATTGTGCCCTACCCCTACTCCTTACCTGAAGGTCAGTGGCATTTTTGGCTAGTCCACTTAATGTCTCCTTTAGGCAAGAAGTGAATTCTTGTTGGGAGGTTGCATCACTACCTAGAAGAGATCAAAAGAACTAAGATTATGGGCTGGAAAGGTGGCTTAGTGGTAGAGTGCTTGCCTACCATGCATAAGGCCCTGGGTTCAATTTCTCAGTACAGAGAAAGCTGGAAGTAGCTCTGTGGCTCAAGTAGTTAGAATGCTAGCTTTGAGCAAAAGAAGCTCAAGGACAGTGCTCAGGTCCAGTTCAAGCACCAGGACTGGCAAAAAAGAAAGAAAGAAAAGAAAAGAAAAAGAACTAGGATTATTTAGGTCTTGAATTGTGTTTGCTTATCTAAATTAATCTGGTTATAGGCTTGGACATAAAGTATTCACCGGTAAATTTCGATCACTTCAGATCTTTGAATTATCTAGGGTGATTTCACATCACAGTCATATCATAAATCTACATGGATTGTGTTAGTTCTTAACTTCCCCCTTTCATTAAACAAAGTTCCCAGACCTTCTCCCATTACCTTGCCTCATCCCATGTTTATGACTACAGGACTGCTACCAACTTTACAGAGAATACTAATTTTCAAGCAACAAACCCTTAAGAGGCCTGTCTAGATATTTCCCTTTATTTGGGATCTCCTCACCCACTCTCCCAGCAGCCTCTGAGAGCTTCTGGAATTGTTCCACCAGGTGGGGCTCTTCCTCAGCCAACTCCTTCATTGCCTTCTCAAACTCTGCAGTGGCTTGGGAAGCCAGCTCACTGTCGAATAATTCCTGGAAAAACTTCTCTTGGGAGGCAAAGAGGGCATCCTGCAGAGAAGGAGTGGCCAAAATGCACTCTTACAGCATTGTGCTATACTTGGTCTCTATAGAAGCCCAAGCAGTATCTTTGGGAAATGCAGCACCTCCCTCTTACCCTCCCTCCATGGAACATTCTATTTACTCATGAGGACAGCAAGAAGAGCATTTGGCCATTGAAGAAAGAATATAAGGTGGCATATTAACCCAACATTTAAGTCTTCTGTTTTCTCAAGGAACTTCCTTGAGATCCCTCCACACAACCTTAAGTCCTTGTTTCATGAGGACTGAAGCCTGTAATAGCACTCAGCAATGTGAGGCCAAGGCACCCTCCCTGCCCTCCCTCCGGCCCACAGGGGCCTGGATCACGCCCATCCCCTCCCTCACCCTTCAGGGGTTGGGATTTATACTTTGGCAGTGTCTCCTGGCGATCTCTTCTGGGGCCCTGAAGCATCGGGGGCCGTGGTGGTAGGAGGGGGTGCTGGGGAGGGTTTGGCTTTATCGAAATCATCAAGAGCACCTTCAGAGACAAGAGATAATGGTATGTGTGTTGGGGATGGATGAGGATGCAAGGCTGGGTGATTTCTGGAGAAAATATTAGGAAAAATATTTTTTCAAAGTGCTAACTTCCTTCAATTTCCTCCTTTTTTTGGTGACTCTTCCTCCCAGCCTACTGATCAGTAAGTCTCCTATCTTCCTTAGGATTACAAAATCTATTGTGATCAAATGGTAATAAGTCACTTAAGGTAGAACACATTTTCATCTTAGAGTTGGGAGAAGAGGCAAAAGAAGTTCTGCAGAGGCTGGCCATGGGTGGCTAGTGGCTTATGCCCATAATCTTAGCTACTCAGGAAGCTGTGAGGATCTCAGGAGCTAGCCGAGCAGACAAATCCAAAAAACTCTTGCCTCTAATAACCAGCAAAAAGCTAGAAGTGAAGCTGTGGCCAACCTTGAGTGGAAAAAAGGCTAAGGAAGAGTGAGAGACCCTGAGTTCAAGCCCTAGTCTAGGCACATACACATACACCTACTAGTTCCCTACAAATTTTGTACAAACATCCAAAAAGAAGAGTGAACATAGATGTCCTTAACCCCCAGAACTCACTCAGAAGCCTTAACAGGAATAAATCTTGGAAAGAAAACACAAGCTATCCCACCCAGCTGGTGGTACCCACTGGTCCTGGTACTAGTGGAAACTGAGGCACTCCATAATACATTCCATGGAATTTAACTATCTTATACTAAAATCTCTTTCTCCTTCAGCAAGCTCCTAAAATTCCAACTGGCCTAATCTCTGCAGATAACTCACTGCTAATTCAGAGTCATTTGGCACTCCTCACGATTTCTGCTCTTTTTTTTTTTGGCCTGCCCACATCTCTGTGACTGTGCAAGAGATAAAAAAAAAAAAAAAAACAAAAAAACTTTCACCTCTGTCCTGAAAGCCTGTGTTGTCACTACCACATTCTGTCTGCCAAGCCTAGGGAAAGGACATGGGCCTCATTCTGGTCAGGAAAGAGTGGAGGAGTAGGCTAAGAATAAAAAGAACATCCACCATCTTTCAAGAGGATGAACTGTCCTCACTTTAGGACGGCTCCACCCTTAGTTTCTCAAAATAGTGGAAAAGAAGGCTGTTTAAGCTACTGACATGACAGAACTGTAATGGCCCGGGAGGAAAAAAAAAAAAAAAGAAATGTTAAGGAAGACCCGTGTGAAGGAAGATTTGACAAGGCACAGGGCATCCCGTGATGGGGGCTATGTGGTTCGCAGTCATCAGATGTTGCTAACTAGCCCAAGAAAAGTTCATTTCAATAATTTACTAATCTAAAGCAAGGGAAGTTTGGGGCAGGATCGTAAGACACCTCGGCACGAGTTACGGTTTCCCTTTCTGCAGGGAGAACAGGGGTCAGAACGGGCCAAAGGTCCAGGTGCACTCTCCAGCTCCCGCTGCGGAGGGGCCAGGGTGACCCCGAGCTGTCCCTGGGGTCCGGGCCAGACCGCTCCGCTACGACTAGCCTTCCCGCCCCGACCCCAAATATTTCAGGTTCACTTTACCACCTGAATGAGTCCTCACCCTCGTTCTCTTCGGACCTTTTCCCATTACCAGCTCTTACTTTCCAGAAGCTCTTCCAGTTCCCGGTCCGCTTCAACCCCGACACCAAGGCCTTCTTCAGCAGCCGCCATCTTGCCGCCTCCCACTTGCCGTAGGAGGCATGACTACCGGCGACGCCGCGTGCCCGCCCCCCTCCCGCCCCCGCCCCGTGCAGCCAATGGGATCGCTGGGCCTTGCTGAGCCGCCATTTTTAAAGGGACCGGAACCTGTGGGGATTTTTGTGACTGTAGTTTATTTACCACTGGGGCTGGAATCTTCCAATTGGTGAAATATAGCCAGATTAGGCGTGATTCACGCCTGTAATCGCAGTTCTCCGGAGGCTGAGATAGGAGAACTGTTCCAAGTGTTTAACTTGAGATACGTAGAGATCTACCTCAGAACACAAATCAAAACATTGAGCTAAAGCTGGGTGCCACTTGTGGCTCACTACCTGTAATACTAAGCTACTCAGGAGGCTGAGATCTGAGCTTCACAGTTTAAAGCCAACCGCGAGCAGGAAAGTCCGTGAGACCCTTATGTCTAATTAACCACCCGAAAACTGAAAATGGAGCAATGGCTCAAAGCGGTAGAGTGCAAATCTTGAGCAAAAAGAGATTAGGGACAGTGCCCAGGCCCTGAGTTCAAGCCCTGTGACCTCAAAAAAATAATAAATAATAAATAAATCAAAACAGTGAGCCAGGTGCTAGTGGCTGACACCTGTAATCCTTACTACTCAGGAGGTTGAGATCTGAGGATCGCAGCTCAAAGCCAGCCTGTTCAGAAAAGTCCATGGTACTCTTCAATTTACTACCAAAAACTAGAAATGGAGCTGTGGCTCAAGTGGTAGAGCACTAGCTTTGAGCAAAAGAGCTCAGAGACAGTGCCCAGGCACCTTCGTTCAAACAACACAAAGGAAAATTTAAAAACAACAAAAACAGAGAGGATATTGCTATCTTCTGCCTGGTTTCCTATTGGCCTGAACTCTTTCCACATTACCTAAAGAAGTTCTTCATTATTAGGCTGTGTTCCACTTATGCCAAATTGGGACAGACTATCAACAAATAACTAGAATCCGGGATTACAAAACACAGAAGGTAATTATGGTCTACATCATTGTTTTTCCTCTTATATGTCATCTTCTCTGAAATGCTTACTTTGGCCTCGCTAAATAAAATAAGAGGGGCTGGGAAGGTGGCTCAGTGGTAGAGTGCTTGCCTTGCATGCATGAAGCCCTCGGTTCGATTCCTCAGCACCACATAAGCAGAAAAAGCCGGAAGTGGGGCTGACACTCAAGTGCTAGCCTTGAGCTGAAGAGCTGAGGGACAGCGCCCAGGCCCAGAGTTCAGGCCCCATGACCGACCAAAAACAAAAACAAATGAAACAGAGGACTGGGAAGGTGGCTCAGTGGTAGAACGCTTGCCTTGCATGCCTGAGGCCCTGGGTTCGATTCCTCAGCACCACATAAGCAAAAAGAAAAAAGCCGGAAGTGGTGCTGTGGCTCAAGTGGTAGAGCGCTAGCCTTGAGCTGAAGAGCTGAGGGACAGTGCCCAGGCCCAGAGTTCAGGCCCCATGACCGGACCCAAAAAATAAACAAAAACAAATGAAACAGAAATCCTGGGGCTGGGAAGGTAGCTCAGCGGTAGAGTGCATGTCTTGCAAGCATGAGGCCCTGGGTTCAATTCCTCAGCACCACATAAACAGAAAAAGCTGGAAGTGACGCTGTGGCTCCAGTGGTAGAGTGCTAGCCTTGAGCTGAAGAGCTGAGGGACAGCGCTCAGGCCCAGAGTTCAGGCCCCATGACCGGCAAAAAAAAAAAAACAAATGAAACAGAAATCCTTATCTGTCCCTTCAGTGCTTCTGTTTCTAATATTGAACATTACCTGATACACCGTATCAGGTTTATCTTGTTTATTGTCTGACTTCACCTCCACCCCTGCAAACTTTAGGCGTTGTGAATAATTTGTTGTCTTTATTGTTGTATCTCAACTTTCAAAGTGAGTGCTTAAAACTTCAGAATTTGGCTGGGTGCTTCTGGCTCATGTTTGTAATTGTAACTACTTAGGAGGCTGTCATACGAGGATCACAGTTCAAAGCAAGCCAGCTCCTGCAAGAAAGTCTGACAGACTCATCTTCAATTAAGCAAAAACAGTAAGAAGTGGAGCTATGGCTAGCTTTCATCAAAATAGCTCAAGAGTTCAAGCCACAGGACCAGTTTTTTTTTTAATTTGTTTTTAAAAAGCATTCATTGGCTACTCTTTTCTCTCCCAGACCCTGATCGGATACATTTCTCTGCAAATATAGTGGAAAACTCCTATTCCTATTTTCCATCAGATCTTCCTGTTAAATGTTTGGGAACTTAGAATTTAAACAGGAAACATGACTTTGGGACTTTGAACTGAGCAAAGAGCAATTCAAATGCAATCATCTGCCTTCCAGATTTTTTTTTTGGGTGGGGTTGTGGGGCCTGAACTCTGGGCCTGGGCGCTGTCCTTCAGCTCTTCAGCTCAAGGCTAGCACTCTACCACTTAAGCCACAGCTCCACTTTCGGCTTTTTTTCTTTTTGCTTATGTGGTGCTAAGAAATCAAACCCAGGGCCTCAGGCATGCAAGGCAAGCACTCTACCACTGAGCCAACTTCCCAGCCCCATGCCTTCCAGATTTTTCTCCACACAGAACCTGAACTCTGATGAAGTTGAGGAAGGCTCGGGTAAACAATTCTTCTCTCCTTTGGAACTGGTCTTTAAGATAATCAGAATGTGGCAACTGTTTCAGATACAAATCTGTTTTTAGCACTTAGCACCTACTTATTTAAAATCTTGTGCACAGTAGAGCACAGAAATAAATCAGGACTAGACCCTGTAGAGGAGCTAAGAGGTTGACTAGAGGTAGAATATATACACAGTAAGGACATAAAATACTTAAAAGAATTGAAGATGAAGTTCTATAAAGTTTAAAGGGAACAAATTACATCTACATGGGGAAAAAAATCATGTTTTAAGTCACTTCACTTTTCTCCTCCTAAACACATTTGAGTACTATATCAAGTACCAGATCAGGTTCTTTCCTTCTCATGGCAGACTTGTAACTTTGTGCAGAATCTACTGTTTTCCATTTTGATAGGGTTTCACTATGTACTAAGAGTGGTCTGAAGCTGGCAATCTTCTTGCCTCAGCCTCCTGAGTGCTGGGATCATAGGTGTGTGGCACCATGCCTGGGCAAGCCACTGTTGTTTTTTCCCAAGCACAAGTAGTTTGGGGAGAATGCATTCAGAACTGTGCAAGTTATAAATGTAAGTTTCAGCCCCAAGTCAGTCACCAGATTACTTTCTAAGGCCTTCCTTAATGTTGACCTTCTATAATCTATATCCTTCTTTGACTAACCTCTCTTTTTTTTGGTCTGTGATGGGGCTTGAACTCTGGGCCTAGGCGCTGTCCTTAAGCTCTTCAGCTCAAGGCAAGCACTCTTAACACTTGAGCCACAGAGCCACTTCCGGTTTTCTGAGTGGTTTATTGGAGATAAGAGTCTCATGGCCTTTCCTGCAGAGGCTGACTTTGAACCACAATCCTCAGATCTCAGCATCCTGAGTAGCTAGGATTATAGGCGGGAGCCACCAGCACCCAGCTACCTTTCTAACTCCTGTAGAATAGTTTATTTCAGGCTTAATTGCAATCAACTCCAAACTGCTTACAAGTATATCTCTAATAGGGCTGTGTGTGTGTGTGTGTATATATATATAAAAGTACCAATGGGGACTTTTATTAGTTTTAATGTAGCAATAAAGCATATCAGTAGGGAAAATACTAGATGGCAATTAAGATGATTAAGGTGGGTTCAGAAACAACTCTCTGCCTCCCTCCTCTTTCCCTCCCTCCACTACTCTTTCCTTCCTCTACTCTTCCTATCAGGGTTTGAACTCAGGCCATGCCCTGCCACTTGAGCCAAGCCTCCAGATTTACTTTAAAATCTCTTAAAATTGATTTAAAAAAAAACTGATTCTCCTAACATCACATCATTTTGTTCTTTCTGCCCTTCTAATGAAGAATGAACAGTGTTGTGGGAAAAATTTACAGCATTTTCCATATCATTCTTAAGGACTTGTATTTTCAGTTTGTTGAGCAACTTCAGACTCTTGCCTGGTATTCACAATTAAATCATATATATCTAACTTGTTTTCCAAGTCTCAAGAGGCAGAGCTTGCCATTCTTTTTAATACCCTGAGTTCAGGATGTATGCAAACTTAATTTTGAAAAATAAACTTATAAGCTTATAATTTTGTTTCTTCAAAACTAACTTGCCTTTGTTTATAGGAAGAACATTTATAACTTGAGAATGTTATCAATGTTGTATGCAAAGTTTTAAGAATGCAGGTTTATCTTGGGGATGGTGTTTAAGAAAGCAGATCCTGATCAAAATATTTCATGTGCATTTTTGAAAACAATAATGAAGCCCATTAAAACTTGTTCAATAAAAGAGGAAGGGAATAAGAAACAGAGGGGATGATTTTTATCAAAGCATGTTATATGCAGTATTTAAAGAAGCAACACAATGAACCCAGTGTACAATTACTATACACTAACTTTTAAAAAGGGGGCAAAAAACAACTCTTAAATCTATGTATCCTGTGAAGACCTTTGCTCTTTGAAACAAGCATTGCACTTTTAGTTTATCCTCAGACATACTGCTCCAACCCATACAATGTAATGTTCAAGTTATTTATTGAAGCAATGTTAACAATTACAAAAGACTGAAAATACCTATGCATCAGGAGGCAATTTCATAACTCAAAATAAGCCATAAAATATGGAGGTGAGCTGGGAAGGTGGCTCAGTGGTAGAGCGCTTGCCTTGCATGCCTGAGGCCCTGGGTTCGATTCTTCAGCACCACATAAGCAAAAAGAAAAGAGCCGAAGTGGCGCTGTGGCTCAAGTGGTAGTGCGCTAGCCTTGAGCTGAAGAGCTGAGGGATAGTGCCCAGGCCCAGAGTTCAGGTCCCACAGCCGGACCCCCCCCAAAAAAAATGGAGGTGAAAAATGAGGCTGCCTAATATACTAAGGTGGGCTTGAACTCAGGAAATCTTGCTAGATTTTCGCTCAAGGTTGGCTATCATTTTTTTTCTCCCTTAGTCTTGGGGCTTGAACTCAGCCTGGACACTGTCCTTGAGCTTCTTTTGTTCAAGGCTAGCACTCTACCACTTGAGCCACAGCGCCACTTCTGGCTTCTTCTGTGTATGTGGTACTAAGGAATCAAACCCAGGACTTCATGCATGCTAGACAAGCACTCTACCACTAAGCCTAAGCCACATTCCCAGCCCATACTTTTTTTTTGTCTGTCGTGGGAGCTGAATTCTGGGCCTGGGCGCTGTCCCTCAGCTCTTCAGCTCAAGGCTAACACTCTACCACTAGAGCCACAGAACCACTTCTGGCTTTTTTCTGCTTATGTGGGGCTGAAGAATTGAATCCAGGGCCTCATGCATGTGAGGCAAGCACTCTACCACTGAGCCAACCTCCCAGGTTCCCCCCCCACCCCTGCCCCTTTTTTTTTTTTTTTTTAAAGAAAACTATATAAGGGGCTTGGAATGTGGCTTAGTGGTAGAGTGCTTGCCTAGCATGTATGAAGCCCTGGGTTCCATTCCTAAGACCACATATGCAGAAAAAGGCGGAAGTGGAGCTGTAGCTCAAGTGGTAGAGTGCTAACGCTGAGCAAAAGAAGCTCAAGGACAGTGCTTAGGCCTTAGTTCAAGCTCCATTTGTCTTGGAGCTTGTAAGAAAAAAAAAAAGAAGACGACTATAAGGAAGCTACTATCAGTGGTTTTGGGGGCAGGTGATAGGAAATGGGTGACTCACAAAGGAATGAAGACTTGTCATGGGATAACTTTTATCATTTACTATTTTTTTTTTTTTGTTGGTCATGGGGCTTGAACTCTGGGCCTGGGCACTGTCCCTCAGCTCTTCAGCTCAAGGCCAGCACTCTACCACTTGAGCTACAGTGCCACTTCCGGTTTTCTGGTGGTTTATTGGAGATAGGAGTTTCACGGTCTCTCCTGCCCAGGCTGGCTTTGAACCTCGATCCTCAGATCTCAGCCTCCTGAGTAGCTAGGATTACAAGGTAAGCCACCAGCGCCCGGCTTCATTTACTAATTTTTAACTGTATGAATATATTATTAAAACATGAATTTATTTTTTTAAATGTTATTTATTGTGAAAATACTGTACAGAGGGGTTACAGTTACATGAGCAAGGTAATGAGTACATTTCTTATCAAGCATTGTTGCCTCCTCCTTTGAAAGACATGAATTTAAGCTGTAAAAATTGTACATATTTTAAATCAGACTCAGTATATCACTCTACCCAGTCTAAGCAAACTATATGCCTTAATGCCAACATGACCAAGTGGATAATGCACTGTATACTAATCTTTTTTTTTTTTAAATCAGTAGTGGGGCTTAAACTCAGCCTGGTTGCTATCCTCAGCCTGTCAGCTCAAGGCTAGCGCTCTACCACTTGAAACACAGAGCCACTTCTGGTTTTCCGGTGATTTACTGGAGATAAGAGTCTCACAGACTTTCCTGCCCAGGCTGGCTTTGAACTGTGAGCCTCAGATCTCAGCCTCCTGAGTAGCTAGGATTATAGGCATGAGCCACTGGTGTCTGGCTGTATACTAATCTTATACAAATGTATTAGATGTAAAATATATAGATACATGGTAGGTGCTCAATAAATATTGGTTGTAATCAGCAACAGAAGGCAGGCTGCAGTAAAAAATGGAATGGGGAGATGTTTTCTAACATTCTCACAGCAGCTTAGATCTGTCCCTCCCAAGAGCGGGTATTAACTTTAGTCTTTTTGTTTTGTTTTTGGCAGTACTGAAGTTTGAACTCAGGACCATATGCTTGCTAGGCAGGCATTCTACTGATAAACACAACTCCCTTTTTTGCCCTTGTTTTTGAGAAAGGGCCTTGATTCCTACCCAGGTACTCAACTAGAAGGCAATTTATCTATTTCAGGCTTTCCATTATAGTTGGGAAGACCACTATCTAGGTGGTATAGTATATACCACCAGCCTAACTTCCTCATTCTTGCAATGGAGTCTTTTAGACTTATCTGGCTATGGATGACATTGAGCCAATCTTCCTTAACTCAGCTTCCCACAATACCAGGACAGGCATGTAGTACTGGGACCAGCTATGTGAGTTGAAAAGTTAATGAGACGGGGTCGCTAACTTTTCTGCTCTGGCTGGCCTCAAATTATGAGCCTCAGGGGCTAGGAAGGTGGCTCAGTGGTAGAGCGCTTGCCTTGCATGCCTGAGGCCCTGGGTTCGATTCCTCAGCACCACATAAGCAAAAAGAAAAAAGACAGAAGTGGCGCTGTGGCTCCAGTGGTAGAGCGCTAGCTTTAAGCTGAAGAGCTGAGGGACAGTGCTCAGGCCCAGAGTTCAGGCCCCATGACTGGACACCCCCCCGCAAAAAAAAAATTATGAGCCTCCTGTTTTCAGCCTTCCTATGTTTTTGTTTTTATCAGCCTTCCTAGTACAGGTGTTTATCCACTGGCACCTGGCTATAAAAATAATTACAGGGCTGGGAAGGTGGCTCAGTGGTAGAGCACTTGCCTTGCATGCCTGAGGCCCTGGGTTCGATTCCTCAGCACCACATAAGCAAAAAGAAAAAAA